TGGTGGAACCGACCTTCGAATCTCTTCACCCAACACTTTCACTCGAAATGGAAGTAAGCTCAACAATGTAATTATTAACCCAAATGGGAGCCAAGCAAGATCCCATTGCTAGACCTTGCACCTGTTCATAAACTGTATCATTAAAGGTGAAGTATGTGCTGCTCATGGATAGATTAGGAAGCCTTTTGCTGAGATTTGCTTCCCCAATAATTTCTGGGTGTTCATCTAGGCTGAGTGTTAGTGCTTCAATAGCTTTCTGAACGGAGATGTTAGTATACATTGATACCACATCAAGACTAACCAAAAGATCCTCCTCTTTAATACTCCGTTGAGCTATTAATCTAGCAAATTCATATAAATTCTTCACCGATCATTTCTAATACTCAGCTAATTTCTTTAGTTGTCTACATAAGAAACGTGAAATCATATGCTCTGATGATGTTCGTCACATGACGGACAAAAGCTTAAAACCTTTTCACCGAAGTCGAAGTAGATCTCTTTGGAAACAGCATCACCATGAATGTTCCAGTAGATCCCCTCCTAGTTCCTAAGTTAATTGCTCGTTGTATGAATAGAAGTTTTTATGAGATTTATTCACCCTATTTCGTTTACGTTGATGAAGGACTGGTAGTAGAAGTTTCCCACAATGATATCAGTAAAGCTGATTTTCCACTAAATTTCACATAGCCTTGCTTTCCTAAAAATTGTTCTCATCCAGGGTGGACTGCAGGGTGAATACATATCATATAACCGATTTACTGGTAGTCTCGAAACTCTACTTATATATGAAAGATAGAAAGTGTTCGACATGAAAGCCGCTCAAAAGGGCACACCACACTACATTTAAATAAGCAAGAAAAATTGTGACAGTGAAGGCATGATACGAGGATATAGGAAATGTGAATAGCCCAGTACAGAAGAAGAGAATCCGTAACTGTTTAGCACACGTTTGGTCAGAAGATCGACTTCACTTGTCTCTTTGACGAGTTGCAGTATGGTGCTAAGATTGGCAAGACTCACCGACGATACCGGCTAGGATACCGGCGAAAAGTCTGGGAATGTACCACGTCTACGGTCCGATTTTGGAAATGACCATGCATACAATGGACTCCGGACTAGGTGCCTTCCTAATAATATGCGTCATTTTTAACTAAATCATTCATCTTTTGATTTCTCCTTTAGCATATCTTTCAGTTCCACGTTGATCTTCATGGTTGTATCCTTCTTTAGTATCTGATACGTATTCCGGTCGACTAAGCTACTTTCCTTGTTCTCCGTGTACCGTTTATTGTCCATTACCGCCGTCGCTCCCCCCTTGTCTGCCTGAGGAATTATTTGGTCATTCTTCCGTAATTCTTTGCGTATCCCAGTCAAACCGCCCCTGCTTATTGGCTCTTGACCTGCAGAGATTTTTGAGATTATTTCCATTTCCATCTCCCGCTTTGTCTCTGCTGGATATTCTTCCGATATGTTCATAACCTCCACAAGAATATGTTCTAAAGTGCTTTCCTTCGTTACCTAAAGAAAAATTTAATCCCTTCTTCAGAAGATCCATGGATTCAGCATTATGCTGGATTGAGGATAGGCTCACTACCTTATCCCCATTGTCTTCGGGAGGTATGGATGCCGTCACTACCAGAACATCATGATCTGATTGGGTTGGCTGAATCCTGCGCTGTCTTATTAGCCCATCTCTAAGCAATTTCTTGTCATGCCGCTTATTTATAAATCCCAGGCCCTCTGTAAATTCTGGTCAGTCATATCGTGAAGTTTTTGAAAATCCTTCAGAATGAGGGCCTCGCCAATATCCTTCCTAATTATAGACTTTATTTCTAACAACTTAACTAGCTTACACCTCTCAGTCTCGTACTTTTCCTCTAATTTCTCAATGGAGACGTGATAAAGTATTTCAATAATTGTGTCCTAATGACACTTACTCATCAGGCTACAGAACTCGGGAGCGATACCATAATGTTTGCAACATTACAAAAAGGTCAAATGTCATGATTGACTTACGGCCCGACGCTGGTGAGGGCGAATTCACTTCTTTGAATAAATTGCTTGTGCACCCTCGGTTTATGGCCATCCTTAGGTTAAACGAGAGGATGGAGAAGCTTTGAGTTTATTTATTAAAAATCCTGCTAGTATGATTCATTATATTTAAGAGTTCCTATGTAGACACTTTATGAAGGTGGCTGAGTTTGAGATATACTCATTTAAAATTTCGCATGATTTTGTAAATTTTAGAGATTAACAACGAGTTTCCGTGTATTAGGGAATTCTTTTGCTATTAAGGATGAAATCAAATAGCTAATTGAAGGCATGAAGACCAAGATGGTGTGGCCCCTTGTATAGTCGCGGTCTCCTTTCGTAGTATATACATTGTTTGACCTCGTTTTCTCAATTTGGGCATATTGGCAAGAAGGCCTGGAGGTAGGTACCTTGTCCGGAGTCATAGTGCGCCTGATAATTTCCAGAGTCACTGACGATGCCGACTACAATGCCAGGGAAATGTCTGGTGATTTACCAAGTCCACGGTCCTACTCTGTAGATTATCATGTATACTATGGACTCCGGAAATTGCAAAATTGCAAATTGCGAAAACAAGTTCAAACAACCTCTATACAAATAACTAATATTCATAGTAGATAGGTAAATTTTAAATTTTAAATATTCACTTTCCAAAATTTATATAAATAAGTCTCACGATGATATTGTATCTAGTTTACTCTAATTTACTCATCCAGATTGGATTACAGTTTAAACCTCGCCTGGGTCACATCAACATCCACACCGATCATCGAGTCTGGATAGTTAAGTATTTTATTCCTCATACGTAACTTAGGTAAATTGACTTGTACTAAACTTTTACAATCCATTATGCTACTTATATTCATGATAAATAGGCACAGACTTGGTAAAAGCAACAAATCTTAAGAGATTTGAAAAAGGAAGCAAATACAGATAATATATTTACTTGGGAGTCATCTGATCCTTCTTTTCGCTCCTCAGCTAGCAAAGCCAGAAGGAATCTGCTTCGCCTTTGCTCTTCCTTCTCGGGCAACCAGTAGGCCCGGCATGCTTCTAGTCCAGTGAAGTCGGCCTGCATAGAATGCCACTTGTTGGCATCGTATCGCACATCAGCAAACGTAGCACCCAAAGTTAACGCATAAGCGAACAGGCCGGAAACTGATGCGACAGCAAGACGTCGAACCGAGGTTCCGAAAAGACAGAGACCGAAGCTGGGCGAGACCCAGTTGATTAGTCCGATCAACTGATGAATGAGGTAGGAGGATTTAGGGATTTGGTCATCACTGCCCAGAGAGGGACAGAAGCCCCACCAGCCAATACCGGCTCCCAGCGCCATGGCGACCAGTCTGAAAGACCAGTTGGTGAGCAACCTCCTTTGGAAGCCATTCAGAAAAATGTAGTAATTGGCGTCGATATAAGGGAAGATTTTGTCCAGCAGACGAGTGGTATCTACCACTTGGACAAAGTAATTGTAGTTTTCGTCCTGCCACTCGGGGACAGCGAACTCCCTTCTGGGCACTTTTGGTATAGCAATTATGGGAAAATTGTATGATAAAAAACTGGGTTCCAGATAATTCTTTAATATTTTCATGTCATTGGACAATTCATTTTGTATGAAGCATAGGGAAAACGGTTGCCGACTTAATTCAAGTTCATGAGCCAAGAGGAATCCCAACTCCAACCTGAATTAAGGAGTCTTATCACATTTTTGCGAGCCTTGCGAGCACATGAGAGCAACAGCAGCGCACGAAATCCAATCAGATAACTCACTATATTCTGTCCGTCTGGTTGAACCGAAAAATAGGGCCAAACGACTTCTGTAGACCTTGATAACTGGCCATAAAGAAGTACTCTATTCACCCGGAGGATGAATAAGATAACTTAAGATTCAAATAAACAATATTCATTAATCGTAAATATGAGTACCAAGACGTTATAAACTCTCTTTTGGCCACAGTCTCCTTCCGCTGTATAGAAGTGGTCTGACCTCGTTTTTGCAACTTGGTCGTGTTGTCAGAATGACCTAGTTGGACACACCGGTCTCAAAGTCCTCTACCATAATAGTTATGATCATTCCCAGCATTATCATAACTATGGTAGCAGAGGACTTTGAAGCCGGTGTGTCCAACTAGGTCATTCTGACAACACGACCAAGTTGCAAAAACGAGGTCAGACTACTTCTATACAGCGGACCAAATTGAGGTATGCTAAACTTAGTGAATTGCAAATGAAATTTGAGTTTTGAGGAAACTCTTGTTTTATGATTGTTGAGTTTTCTTGACTCGTCAGTTTGAATATGGTTGTAAGCATTATGCCCTGCTCTGATAATGGACGTCATACGATCGACCTTCGTATCTCTTCACTAAAGACCTTCATCCGAAATGAAAGTTAGCTCAACAATTAGCAGAAAATAAAATGAAAACAACCAATTTTTAAAGGTATCGCATAGATCATGACTATCTATCTATCTAAGCAAAATTTACCTTCGGTCGCCTGAAATGACATGAGACTAATAGTTTCTATTCTCACAAGTAGCAGAATGTGTTTTACGATGTAAATAAATGGATTGCAGCTTCGATCTCGCCCAGATCTCGGCTGTATCCCCAATGACATAATGGCTACACATTGCCACTCCGCCACATAGTTTCGGGTGCCGGCTGGAAGATATGACCTTCAAGATAAGCCGAGCCTCGTCAAATTCACAACGTAAAGGATATTTTTGATAGGAAAAATTGTATTTACTGATTTAAGTGACGATACTACCATGTACGTAAAAAGTAGGCTTCGACATCAGTAGATCTTGAGTAAGAAAGTTAGTCATCTTAGGTTGTTTGAGATTTGCTTATAACTAACACCGTGTTGGTTGGAATAGCAACAACAATCCCAATTGTTGACTAGATTTTTTTCTAGTTTTCTTGTTTGCATTGTCTATTAATGGTAGGAGAATATACCCTGCACTGCCGCTCCCACCGGTGAGTGAAAAACGTCATTGCAAATCGATTAATTGATTTAATATAGGAATAAATTTTAACAAAAATATCAGAGGCAGTATGGGGTGACTTCGTCAAAATATGCGAGTCAATCTTGGTAGTTGCCTTTGTCCTGAATAAAAATGAACTAAATAGCGTAACAATTTGGCATTTATACCAAATATAGGAGTTTTATTCGCCATATTTCGTTTAAGATAATGATGGACTGGTAGCTGAATACCAGGACTCGAGCCTGGATAGTGCAGCGTATAGTCCTGCATAGAATGCTGATGAAATCTGAGTTCGAGACTGCGATTCACACTTGTTTGGATAAGAATAACTTTTGGGAAGCAAGGTTTTGTGAAACACGATAGAAACGTTAGGCCTGGTGATAGCATATCATATAACGCCTAATTATAAACTGAAAATGTATACCACTTGTTTACGAAAAGCTAACTAACTTGGTGTTTATATAAGATGAGAAATTCTTTAAGATAATTTATCACTTATTATTTCTTTATTAACCATCGACCATGTCAGAATTTGAGGAGATATATTTTGCGCGTTGAGGTAAAAATAAGATTAAACTTTTTAAAGATGCATCTTTTTCCCCATTTTAGATCTACAGCTCACCTGCTGATTTATACGGAAAAATAAGTGGTTATGCCTATCAGCCTATCATAATTATTCATGATACCTTCAAAAGATCAGACTTATGCCGCATTTTTCTGTGACAAGTTCAG